AAATGTTCATAAATCGGGCATTTTACGGTCCAAATTTATGACGTATTAGATTTTATATTACGAATGATTGCGTCATCCCCACCAATTAGCCAATCGTAGCGAGAGAATCGGGGGGAGGTAGAGCTAAACGGAACGGCCCACCACCGTTTATGCTACACCGTAACTACTCTTCCAATGCGCGCAGAAATTGAACGAAAAACTAAACAGCCCCCGGTCATGTCATTGGTGTCACCAGTTTTCTCAGGAACATTTTTGCTACTGGAGACCACTAGTACGTCTATATTGATAAATTCACATTCATTCCCGTATAAAAATTTTTAATATGGGCAGAGGATAATACTACCGGTTAAATAGTGAGAATATTCACATTCATATTCTTGATTAGCTGACCATTTTAAGATGTCTAATAAACCTTAATGATCTGTGAAAGGAACAATTTTATTGTGTTCTTTTTTTAATCTCGTGCCATCTCTGGTCTCAATATTTCCTACATTCTCTTTTTCAATGTACGCTTTTATTATCAGTCATTTGAGAACCTTAACGTGGTTATGTAACATAAATAATAATTGTGTAATAAACACTTTGTAAAGAAAATTATTTGAATTGTTTGAAAGAGCTCAACTCTAATGGGGTTATACGTTGCTGTTAATTATTTTAAGTAAAGAAACAATGTTAGGTTGGTTTGGGATGATTCGCTTACATTGAAGACAATACGCATACTTAGAAGCCAGAAATGTTAATCAAGTCTTGAATTTTTTAAATTCAAATATTTCGGCCACTTGTGTGTATCGTTCGTCGGGTGAGAAAAAAATTACAAAACGACACAAATATTGCATATATTAAAAGTATTAATTAAAATTCATGTATTTTTTCTTTATTGAAATAGTTGCGGAAACTGGCAGACGTTGCTCTATCCTTTGTTCTTTTTTATCTCTCTTTTTCTTCCCCCTCTCCCCCCAGAAAAAATTAATATAATGATCAAAAAAACTCATCCCGGAGATGAAGATGTGAGAAACCACTTTTAGGCCATTGGCCTCAGTATTTTAGTTTTTAATGTCCCAGAACGCTTCATATAAGAGTTATTTAACGATATATATTCAATAAATTCTGCCGAGTGTGTTGCGTTTGACATAAATATTTGGTTTTATTCTACAGCGTCATCTAGTGAATATTTCGGATATTGTAATAGTTATTCTAGCCGGAAATGAATTCAACAAATCAGAGATAATTAAAATGGGTTCAGCCCAAATGTGCCTTATGTGTTTTTTGCTATAAAAGTGGTGAGCGGAGTGTGCCTGCTTGGTGTTGCAGAGAATGAAGTCTGAGCGGCTGTCGTGCTCGGAGGGCGAGCCCTTCCCGTGGCCGGACGACGACGAGGACCTGGAGGTGGACGACGTGGAGGGCGAGGGCGGCAGCGGCAGCGGCAGCGGCGCCGCCAGCGCGGGCACTGGCGCCGCGGGTCCCGGCCTGGGCGCAGGCAAGCGCGGCAACGGCCAGGCGTCCATGCGAGGAGGTCTCTGCGCCCCCCACCCCCCCACCCCTCGCTGCCTCCCCGCCCCTCCTCTGCGGCCGCCTTTGGCGCTTTGGTTTCTCTTGGGTCCCCCCGTCGCTCCCTTCTACTCCCGACTGCTCGCTCATGTCTTCCTTTATCGCCTTAATAGCTTCTGTGCTTCCTTTCTCTCGCTCCCTTTGCTCCCTCTGCGGCCTCTTCTTCTTCTCTTAAATTCTTCATCTTCATCTAAATATTTTCATTTCACTATTCCCTCTCCACCTGCATTCTACTCCCACTGCTCGCTCGTGTTCACGCCCTCTTCTTCTGAATGCCCTCGGCGCTTTCATTTTCCTAATGGTCCCACTCCTCGCTCCTTCTACTCCACCCTACTCGATGGTCGTCGTCCTTTCTCTTAATATGCTTCTGCGCTTTCGTTTCTCTTATCCCTTCTCCTCGCTCCTTTTTGCTCCCGTTTGCGCTTCACGCGCCTTTCGTCTTTCTTTCCCTCTTAATTCTTCATTATTGATCTAAATATTTTCATTTCACTTATTACGTCTCTTCCCTGCCTTCTACTCCCGTCTGCTCGCTCGTCTTTACTGCATACTACTCTTCTCCTCTTTTTTCTTTTATTATTACATGCGTCTTCTCTTTCCTTTCTAGTCCACCTATTTGTACTGTATTCTCCCTCACATTTACTTCAAGCCCTCTTCGTCTTTAGTATTCCTATTTATTCTTTTCATCCTTTTTCTTTCGTCTCGCCTCCTCTCAATTTTTTCTTGTCTCACTCCTGCTTTACTTTCTTCTCTACTTCATGTTCATCTTCTTTTTTTTCTTCGTTATTTCTTCCTCTTATTTATCTAGTTCTTCTATTTTTCTTTTCCCTCACCTCTCCCAATCTTTCTTTACTTCTTCTTTCACCTTTACTTCGTGCTCTTCTTCTTTCTTCATCTTAATATGCTTCTTCTGTTTTCTTTCTCGCTCACACACAGTCTTCCTTCTTTCTCACCTTTGTTTCATTACCCTTCTTCTTTCTTTCCCTTATTTTGTTCTGTTGTTCTGCTTATCTTTCTCGCCCGCATCCTCGCATCCCTACCAATTTTCTCCATCCTCACTTCATGCTCGTTTTCATCTTCGTTCTTTACCATTCCATCTGTTTATTATTATCCCTTTCTCTAGTTCTTTCTTTTGTTTTTAATATTCTTCTCTCGTATCCCATTTACTAACCGTCAATGCAATTTATTTTGGCTCGCCTACCTTCGCGACCTGGAATAACGATTTCATACAAATCCCAATAAACAAACACTAATTATTTTAATGAGCAACCTTGTGAATGTTATTTGTTAAATTATTGTTTATGTAATTCTATGTAATATAAATAATAAATGACAACTCTGATTAGGAAGGAAAGGATTGATCGTTTTATTTCAAAAAAACCGTCAAACGGTCTAAAACCTGCATTAGCGATGGATTATTATTTTGAGAGGATAACAATCGTTTAGTGCATATTTATATGAAAAATATCATTTATCAACTGCTTTAATTAATTAAAAAGTTTGTGATATCAGAAAAATTGCGAGATGTTTTCTCAGTTTTCTCGAAATGAGGAAATTAAGGGTTTTGAAACAAACGATTCAATTATAGAAACGGTAAAAAATTTGATATTTGGAATCTCTTTCAGAGTGACCCCCTCTGACCTCCATCCCTGACCTTCTGCCAACCCGCCCCATGCTAACGCGCGCGGCGTCTGTCTGCCTGTCGTGCAGAACTGTCGGACAGCTCGGGCAGCGACGACCCGGCGCCGCGTAACAAGCAAGCCCGCTCTGGCGCGGCGGCGCGGCGCGGGCGGCGGCGGCGGGGGCGGCGCAGGGGCGTGAGGCGCGGCGCGGGGCGGCGGAGGCGCTCGGGCATCTCTGCGCGCGAGCGCAACCTGCGCCGCCTCGAGAGCAACGAGCGAGAGCGCATGCGCATGCACTCGCTCAACGACGCCTTCGAGGTGAGCGCACGCGAAACACCTCGCTCGGGCTGCTCGCGAAGTGAGACGTGACGTGACGCAGGGGGGCTCAGGGCCTTTCGACTCCCATATAACGCGGTGGAAACCATGACGGTGGCGCGCTCTGCTGCGGTACCTTCTTACAGGAACTAAAACACGAGCTGCTGCCTACGATACTTAAATCGTGCGTGGGTGCTGCGTGAGTTCGCGGGTCGCAAGCAGGCCCATAATGTTTCAAAAGATATCGATGTTCGCGCTTTCTTCAAAGGTTTCTCATATGTATATATTTTGAATAGTTGAACATTTAAATACTTTTCCTATTTCTCACGAATTTGTCAAGTTTTTTGAGCGGAAGTTCGCGAACCTAACCTGCAGCTGTACCTGGCGCCACTAGCGCCTCCTAGCACCCTCGCCAGTAGCACCCTCGAGCTTTGTTTTCATGGAGAGTTGCAAGGCCCCGGGGGACTCATGATGAGTTTCTGATAACTAGTGGATGTGTGTAGCCTGTTTTGATGACCTAAAACGTTACCAAAAATAATCAATACACTTAAAATGCCTTAAAAACAAAACAAAATGCATACAAAATTTGATTAAACCCATTTCAGATGAACAACGCAAGCTTTTGGATATGTTACTGATGTAAATAAGGCTTCTTCCTTTTGTTCAAGTGAACTCAGCTTGCAAACTTTGAGTTTGAACTGTTCTTTAAAAGGAAATATTTGCTTTTATTTATTGTGGAGTCGACCGAACTGATAATGGCGCCGATAAGCGTCACAGGAACTTAAGATTACGTAGTACCACAACGGCTGACATTACAATATATGAGTGTTGAAATCGAATAGGGTAATCAGGAATTTTGTTGTGAACATTTGTTGCAAATTGTAAATATCGTTTGAAGCACGTACCATTAAAATGGCATTAAAAATCGAGAAAACCACCGAAAACGCAGTAAAAATTACGTTAATGGGTAAAAAATACTTATTAGTTGACATTGATGAAAAGTGCACAAAAATGACATACAAAAATGGGTAATTTCGTTTCGTCATAACATAAAATGAATTTCTATACTAATCGGCATATTTCTAAAGTGAACAGAAAAAAATGACATTTCATTAAAATCCACCCCTACTGATGACCACTGCTTATTGGACCCTGGTCCATGCGCTCGTGCGTAGGCTCAATAAGCAGTGATTATGAGAACCTCACCATGAGTCATACTGCGTCACGTCATGGACATGCGTCTCATTTTGCGACTAACCTTACAACTGAGTTCAATTGATGGTATTACAACATGAGTCGGAATTGATGGTAAGATTACAACATGAGTCGGAATTGATGGTAAAATTACAACATGAGTCGGAATTGATGGTAAAATTGTGAAATAAGTTCAAAACATGTCAAGAGTTCAAAACATGTCCTCATGTAATAAAGCTTAACATTATAAACTAATTGCATACACTACTATTTTCAAATGCGTTCAGAGTCGCCACTTTCATGTATGTCTTTCTGTGGTTGCAGCAACTGAGAGAGGTGATTCCACACGTGAAGATGGAACGCAAGCTCAGCAAGATCGAGACTCTCACACTGGCCAAAAACTACATAATGGCGCTCACCAACGTCATCTGCGAAATGAGAGGAGAAGAGAAGCCTTACACGTAAGTGAAACCCACAGCTACCTGCAGCGCCAAGTTGCACCTTTAGGGAAGGTTCTTGGTGCAATAAGCAACTGGTGCAGTTTGGATTAACTGTTTGTGCGATAAAGTATTAGTGTCGTAAACTTCTTATTTCTTGAATGCTCAAAATGACATACAAACTTTGTTACGTCTGTAGAGTCGCCGGGCCTACTAGTTCTGTAACATAATATTTAGTTCACATCATACATGTTTTAAATACTAGGGTGTATGTGCTTTTAACCACTGTAAAATAGGAAAAGAAAAATGATTTTCCATCGTAGAAAAATTTGCCCTACTGGTATTACTGTGAATTGCCGTCATATGAAGTGTTTGCTATCAAATTTCGTTCATTCTACTTTTACCAAAATCCTCTTTCTCGCATTTTTTCTAAGTTAAGACATTTTAGTCGTAACTTCACTGAGGAACATAATTCAAATAAAACTTATTCCCACATGCAATGTGACTAGAACATATCCCGTTCGTGTTCATATCAAAACATAAGTAGTCGTGGGATCTGTCATTCTCTTGTAAAATATTCGCAAATTGAATGAGCTGATTTTGAATCCCAATGCCATAGTGATTATATTGTCAGATATAAACCAAATTTATCGTTTATTCTGTAATTTTTACACCGATGAATTTCTTATTCGTAAAACTTAAGTTTTGAGGATTTCCAACACAACGGTGTCTCACGGCATAATCACAAATGCGCGGGTATTAATATGCATTTATCCAATACTCCAACCCCCCCTCCCTAATGAAAGCGTAGACTTCCGCGGTCAGAGTCAGTTTCGACTTGGCTGTCCGGGAGTTGCGGCGTCTTAGGCACAGATACCAACGTCACGCTGCGACCTTCCTCAGGGCGAAACACATCTGAAACATCTGTGCCTAAGTCGCGACGTCCCCCGGACAGCCAAGTAATGCCCTCTCCAACGTATCCAGTCAGGGATCTGGAGAGATGGCTCAGGACATTAACTGATGTCACTCTGATTGGGAGGTCTCTAGGTTTGAGTCCCGGCGGTGGCAAGATTTTCGACAATTAGCTTGTCAGCTAGGTGGAATGAAGTCGCTGTCTGGAAAATAATTTTAGCGGCCGGCCGATCTGATCGGTAGTTTTCCGGGGTTTCTCCGATTGACGCCAGGCGAATGCCGGAGCTGTAACCCTCCCAAACTGTCCACGGACCGCGCAAGATCTTTCCTACCTCTTACTTGTCCTCTCCTCACCTCTTACACACACGCACACTTACACTAACACGCACCACACAAGCACATATGCCGGGAGACCGGTCGGGGGCTTAGGGCTTGTCCCATCTGGGGCAGTGGTTGGGGAAAACTTCGTTGGCCTATGGTAATTAAGGAACGGATCTCGCCATCCAGCGGGGAAAGACCACTGTCACCTCCCGAACAAAAACATACACTAAGCTTACGGGACTAAATATATTAGTTGCGATCACTAACAATCACTCAATCCAGACGCGATTGACTTAGGCAACGTGGTTCTGCGCAGATTCATGGACGTGGAGTGCGGCTCCAACGACGGCAGCAGCAACAGCAGCGGCGCCAGCTGCAGCAGCAGCGGCGGCGGGGGCGGCGGCGGCGGGGGCGGCAGCGTGAGCAGCGGCGCCAGCACGAGCAGCAGCGGCAGCAGCGGCGGAGAGCCCGCCGCCGACGACGACCTCGAGCCCAACAACAACTCGCTCTTCCAGGAGAACCTGGAGCTGCGAGACCCGCTCATCGCCGGCCTANNNNGCTCAGCCCCGGAAGCCTCTCGCAAAATTAGCGCAATGTTTCGTTTCGAATTGCGCCGGATGTTTGTTTCCTGCTTTGGACATCTATTGGCATTCGCTATGTGTTCGAAAAGTATTGGTTGAGATTTTGTGTTGACTAGTCGTTATATAGAGAGATTAGGAGAAAAATATAGCATTATTTATTCTAAAAGAATATTTGGATATTGTTGAGGAAATGTATATAAATAAAACTTCAAAATTCTCAACATTAATACCATTTTCATGTATTTGCTCATGTTTCGAATTTCTAGAAGTTAGCGTGCTTTAATACATTTTCATTTGGGGACTTGAAATATTAGACAGTGAAAGCTTTCAAAATTCTTATACTGTCTGAATAAAAATATAGGTTACCTCTTATGCTTCAAAATATTATTGAAGCAAGCCTAAAATGGTAGTGTGGCAAAGTTAACCTAGTTGCTGCAAACGAGATCGAAGTGAAATATGGCGTAAAAATAAAGGTGCAATCTTACGAACTGAACAATTTAGAGTCGGATAGCGTTGCCCAGCACTAACAGTGAATTCGGATGCCCGTATCGCAAAAGGACGCTGGATCTCAGCAGTGGATGTGCGACTGCTTCACGGTGGATTTCGTTTGTGGTTTACATAATGACAATTTTGTATAAAGCAGATATTATTCGTCTCATTATGACTCGTAGCATCTACTTTGCACATGTGAAGTGAATTCTTAGAAGTGAATAGTTGGCTAGAAGCAGTAGGATGTTGAAAATCATGTTCAAGATTATGAACTCTGTGTACATTATATTAATGACTCATCATAGATTAATCACTGCTTTTCTTGCCATGTCCAAGTTGAAGTTTGGATTGATAACTGATGGGGGTTTGTGATTGAATTTCTTTTTCTGGTGAAAAAGTTTCCTTAATTGCTAATGTGGTAATTGATTTATTGGTGTGTGTGAATGGATCTGTCATTGAATCCACCAACCAAATGAAATGTTAAGTTCTCTTAAATTTTATTTAGAGAACCTTTTACGTTGACAACCAGGAATGTGAAGATGGACGATTCCAACTGTTTGTTACCTTGTAGTTGAACTGTTTATGGAAGCATGCCGGTAATCTAAACAGCATTGAGTTGTGTGTGCTTAATTTTAAGAGAGACCATATACCAACCGAGAAATGAAGTTTGTGTGCCATGAGCAATCAAGAACAGGAATTGTGTTTGTTTTGTGGAGGATTTAACGAGTGAAATTGTACGGCGCAAAGTTTGTGAAAGGTTCAAAATTGATGTTGCGCCCTGCAACAATTTTAGTAAAGCTATTCAATAATTTTAATTGTTTATTTTGCAATTACGTGCTCTTGAAGATAACCAATATTAATTTCGAATGGCATCTTGAAATAATAAATGATTTCTGTTATCCGAAAACACAAATTTCAAAAAAATGGTTTGCATCTGTTGAGTACCCAAGCCACGTCTTTCTATTTAGTCGCGGCAAAAATTCATAATTGCAAACCATTTCATAAGCAGCACATGAAGCATTAAAAAACTATTTTGATGTGAATGCTTCATAAACCACCCCAAATTAAAAAATGAAATTACGCTGATCATGCAGGGCACATTTAAAATGAATGGGAAATTAAGGGAACTCCAAAGGTAGTTGCTGTTCAACGGTAGGATTTTGAAATATGCTATTATATTTGCGATGCATTTAGATGGCATTTTTGATATCTCCAAAAATTAGTCGAATTTTTATGTTGATGAAAGCAGCTGTGTAATAGGCAGGGTTTTTAGTTCTACACTTACCGTGACTAGACAATTTAATGAGAAATTGTTACCAATGCCAAACAGCGGGTCTTTCAGCCTGCAACTTGTCCCGTGGCTCCCTTATACTTCAGAATCCCCTGCCTACCCTTTAAAAGAGACATTAAGGTATGGAAGCAGATACCTCCGAAATAATACATATATAAGAAAACAAGGCAATGAATAGCTCAAAATCAAGATGCGGCCCCACTCAATTAAATAACGGACCACAGACAATGTGTATTCGAAATTTAATTTGTAGTTGTTAAAGATATTACCTCTGAATTTAAATGATTATTTGGAACTATTAAATCATCAAGTAAGATTTCGAAAGCCACGTTGCATAGTGCATTTTATGGTAAGTGGTATATGTGGGTATTTGATGTTTGTAAATTAAGTGCAGTCTAAGGAAATACACTCGTCCTAGTATTTAATTTACAGTTACTCCTTTACGTAATACCTACGCTTGCAACTTTTACAGGCATGTGAAAGTAGGTGAGGAAACGTTCGAAATATCAGTGGTTACCAGTTATTTATCTTTGAATCAGTCTTCAAATAGCATTTTCGATTTCGTTTATTGAGTAATGATTTAAAATTTCCCAGTTACATTGTAAGTGACATGCAATGTCTCTTGCAAAATAATAAGCCTTCCATAAACATTTCTTGACTAGTCCTCCAAACCATTGCCTGGACCACTCCCTGGAACCCGGGACAAGGATCACGCGAAGCTAGTGCCATAACACGGGAGTAATCAGAAGTAGAGGGCGCCCAGCCGCTCGTCTTGGCCCTTCGGCCTACAGCAGCCCGCTTTGCACCTCACGCTCTGGGTTGGACGGAAACAGTAACGCCGACATACGTCCTTGAACGCACTCTCTGCTCTAATACCCTAATAAAATTCGTGTGCAATACTCCAATCCCCACTCTAGGGTCACTTCGCTATAATTTTACTCGACTCACTGTTGTATGGATACTCTGAACTCAGATCTGAAGTCTCTACTAAAGTAGTGACGACGATGGAAATGAAACTTAGAATTACGAGCATAAGTGTAGTATAAATATTGTTCTGAGACCAATCAGACATCGATTAATGCGTTTTGCAATTATGGGTATTCAAATAAATCTGTATCATGGTGCTGATGTAATGGCCAAAAATGTATTCGTATGAAGATTAGCTGCAATTAAAGATATTATGTACTGTAGAGATTTATCTGAGACCATCCAACCCAGAGGGGAAATCCGTCCAGTCAGAGAAGTCCATCAAGCTTGCTTGTGGCATTGTGCACCTTGAAGTTCGTTATAGCAAACTTGATGGGCATATAGGATAAATAATACATATCATATTTCTATATTAAATAAATGTATAATGAGGTATAAAATATGAAATATAAACAATATAATTTTAATATATATATTTTTATATATATGTATATGTATTTTTATACAGATACGTAAAGAAATATTGTAAAATATTGTAATTGCATGTAATTTTCTGTTGTGAATACACAATAAGCATGTTCCTCAGAAATCAGTATCATATATGCAATTGTCTTCCATTTACCCCTAAAACATCTCAGTAAGACCAATCCAGTAGCCTAAAATAACATTAAAATTAAAATATTACCAGGTCTGTGATCAAATTAAAATTGCATTCCATTAAAAGTTGTGTGTGTTTCGTTCAATTAAATTTAGTTCAAATTCGAATTGGCCTATGGAACGTTTCGGTATAAGAGTGACACCACCCCTGAAACACTAAATATTCAAAATCTTCTGTCTGGTGTAGTAAGCAATAAAATATCCAATTGTTCCATTGTCTAACATATTTTCAACTTTAAAAATCCTGCAAAAATTGCCTTAATTAAATTGCCTTTTGATTTAAAATCATAGAAGCTACTTGTTATATTAAAATCTGGAACTTGTGTTCCTATTATTTATTTAAAGCTCGTAAAGAGTTAATTGAAGCAGTTATATTTGGAGGCAAAATATTCTCCATAATGTTTAAAGTAATTTTATTGACAAAATAAGAAAGTAAAATATATAAAATGAATGAATGAAACAATGACTGACATTATGTTGAAGTGCATTATATCATACAGGTAAGAGATAATACATATATTAAAAATGCATTGTATATAAATGTGTGAAAACCAGGAGTGACATTTTATTTATTCTGAGTAAAAATTGTTTATATTAGGCAATAGTTCAGTACCTATCTAATTTCGTTGTTTTAATGAACAATTGAAATGCCATGGTTTTAGTGATAACCTAAATCACGGTGACTTTATAGTTATATTGAATTAAATACACAGTTTTCTCAGATTTTATACAATATCACTTGCACCGCTCTGGTTTTCACCCATTCATATCTAACACACTTTAAGTTATATAAACTGTAAAAAGAAATTTAAACTCTATTAATAGTGTAAAATCTCGAAGTCGTGATTTTTACCGATGTACACTTCTTGGTGGTCCCAGATAACGAAAAAGTGTTTTTGTTTTTCAAAACGTCACTCCGTCCGTTCTGAACAACACACGCGCATACCACACTACAAAGGAGTTTCCCAAAAATTAATATTCTCCTATATATCTGACTGAACTCGCGGTCCAGTGAATTTGAACTGATTTTAAATTTTGGAGGTTCTTTATATGAAGCCCCTATAACTGCCCAAACGTTAATACATACACGTTAACACAAAATTCCAGTCTTAACCTCTTTTACTGTTATTGAAAGGCTGGAAATTTTAATACAAATTAACAACATACAGTCAATCCGGGTGGCCGAGATTGCTAAGGCAGTAGTGTCGTGGCGATCTCGGATCGAAGGATCGCGGTTTCGAATCCCACCTCGAGCATGGATGTATTTGCGATCGTCATCAAATCATCGTCCTATCACTTCATTAAAGAAGTATTAATAATTCCTTGCTCAAGCAGTAGGCCCTCCCTCTAAACGGGATGTGCAGTTGGCTAATAAAAAAATAACATACAAGAAAGGCGTCGTGTTGCAAAATGGACCACAGCGGAGCAAACATAACAAACTCCTAGACATCGTGGGACTACGAAAGAAGTAACACAGGTAAGGTACTTCATTTGGACGCTACCAAATCTGCCCCTTGTAAGTGATCTAACGAATATCCTTAAGTTTCTAAATATCATTGCACAGTTAATTCATATAGAGCAAAGCTCATTCATATTAACAATACATACAAATGCAATGACGTTAGACAAATTCTTTGTACATAAATTTAGAATAACATACATCTGTTCATGCAAAATGTAATTACACAGAATTACTTCAATGTGCAGCGCATTTGGAACAGTCAAAGATCCATTTTAGAAAACTGAAAACAAGCATAAGAATAAAGCTGCACAAAGTTACATAACAGTATGACAGAGCGTCTATTTAGAGACAAACTCTTAA